TTCAGCGATGTATTCAAAGAATGATGTACGAAATTGATACAATATGCATCAAAATTAGTAATTAAATACACATATCATGTATATGTTTACACGTATCACCGAAATTAAGATAATTCAATAGAAAGTTACTAATTAGTATTCGTATTAAGTGCACGATGTAAACAAAGCCATTAACGATAGAGACTTAAAGGCAATACCTATTATATTGATTCAATCTTAAAAGAAAAATTGCACGTATTTAAACAATTTCATTGAATTATGACGAATTAGATTAACCTACTAAAGTCCAGACTAAATTAGTATTCATAATAATGTATTCATAACAATAATTACATTTGAATTTTTTTCATTATAAGTTTCTTTAGATAAACGCAGTATATGTATCTGCAGCTGTAAACAAAGTTTTCGACGATAAAATAATCCTTTTTTTTTTATTCACATCGTGTCATTTTTGGACTTTAATAAGATAAAAGAGCCATCTTTTGATGCGATAACGCGAATGCTGTACCAAATCTAATGGCTCGATCGGTGTATTCGCACTCGTGCGTATGTTTCTTTCTGTTTCAGTCCCCTCCCAAAGGTGCCACGATCCCTTATCGCCCCAAACCCCAAGTCGGTGGGCCAGTGATCCTGGCTGGTGGGCAAGCCTACACCATCCAGGGTAATTACGCGGTGCCCGCCCACTCGGACGTAAGTACAGTATTACCATTGCCCGCGCCCGCTGCCGGGCCCACCCCGCCCTCGCTGAACACCCAAACTTTGACGACCTCGCCCTTCGCGGCCCACCCCTCATCCTTCGCCGCTTCTCACGGGCACCCGCTCCTATCCACGGCCCATCTTACGACCCCACATCATCCTCTCCACCCAAGCCCCTTACACGCCAGCGTGGCAGGCCTCGCCGACCCCCTGCTGAAGAGTGGACACTTGCAGGCAGCCCTCCCGCCCGCACACCTCGTGGCAGACGCCGTAAGTCTTTTGTTTTTCGTGCTCCACCCTCTCCCCTTCTTGATCACCAACCTGGCTACCACATATCTCCCGGGTAACAATATACATACGATGGATTTCCGTTCCACTTATCCGAAAAATCAATACACCCTCCCGATTCAGTGTCTCCTTATTGTACACGATCCTTAATATATCCAGCAAAACTTCAAACTAGCGACCTCGGCAGATGGTTTCATGTTGGAATGATTACGAAGAAAAAGAGTCAGATGGTTCTCGGAGAAACAGTACATTCGAAGCTGTTTCTTTAGAAAACTAGATAGATCTAACTGAAAATCTGAATAGAAACGTCTGAATATATGTTGAAAGGCTAATATTAACGCAGTTAAGAATTTCTTATTTGTACTACGTTTTCATATCTATATTTATTATGTTTTTTTTTTGTATAGTAGTTAAGAAAGAGAAATCACTTGCGCAACGAATCTACACTTGTTCATGGTATTAGTGGGATTAATTTGCGGTTAAGTTAATGCGCAATCGGAGGGTAGAAAGTTTTATAGATAAACGAATGGTCAAGCGTGTAGTTACTTGTTTGTTGCAACAGCAAATGAACAGTAGTTTTCGTTAAAGGCAAAAGAGCGTGGTTGTGAGAAATAGATTAATGTAAAGCTTTTATTTAATCGTGATTGGTGATCTTTTTTATGATTTAGTTTTATTAAAATTTTTTTGCTATATTGAATAATGTGAATCTTGGCTTTAGTGAAAAGTAGTTATTATACTTAATAAATTTCTTATTTAAAATATAGATGAAACATTTTGGAAATTATTTAATATTAAATATTTATATTACATTCGGAGCTGAAATAACAGTTTACATGATGTTTACATATATCTTATATCATATTTTAAAAATTATTCCTTTTTTCATTAATAAATAATATTTAGACATATTGAAATTTTTTATATGAAATCTCGTTTATGATTACTTTGTAAACAATGTATTGATATGAAAAGAATTTACGCTGACTTTAATGTAATTCTGGATTCGAGGTTATTCCAATTTTCACCAAATGCCGTAGCAGCTCACAATTTATCAATATATTTCATTATTATCTAGGTCACTTGGTCCTTTCCTTCTTGAAACTCTTTGCTGTCCTCTGTCTCCCTCCACGTATATGCATCAATACCTTGGCTTTTCTGCTCGATATCCCTGTACGGTCTTGAGCTTTATATTCAGGAGTATGTCGCAATATCCTTATCTTTAATTACTTGAAGATGCGATCGAAAGGATCCTGTCGCACGATTAGGCTCCGACCGTACATACCTTTAAACATTTTCTATCTAATCGCGTGATTTCGACTGCAGAAACATCTGATTAAACATATCATGGAACGAAATAAGACATGTAATTATATTTAATAACAACTTCCAACATGATTACATCAGAAATTACTTTGCCACTCGGTGTTGGAAGGTTTCTTACATCAAAAATACGTAAGATTCACGATGTATTTTTGTTAATTAAAATTTTTAAATTATATTTTAATAATAATGATTGAGAAAGTTTTTTTTCATATTTTTAGAATAGACAAATATCTTCTCATAATTTTATATCAGTGAAGTCACGCGAGATTTTCCAGCTTTGCTTTATATCCGTATGAGCTGTTACATGCATGCTTTCCTCTTTGGATTATTTTTTTTTCTAAACCCTATAGACGTTCACCGACGCTTCTAAGCTCAACCTGAATCTATATGTACTCGTGTCTCCTTTGTGTAAGCTTGCGTTTGGTAGTGGGTTGATCACCTTAAATACTGCTTGCCGTCCTTCACAGTGCATAGAGAAATTTGAAGATGCATGCTATGTAAAAAGAGTGCAATTGTACGACGTAACATGAGCTCCGATATCAGGTTGAAGTAATGAAGTTCGGGTTAGTACGTTTGATTTTAATGAATAATCTGGAGACACGGTAGTGTCTCGGCGCTAAGCCAGGCGCGCCCGACACTGCCGTGGCTACTTTACGCGAGCCGGCGAGTTGCGGCAGATTGAGATTATATTTACACGATACGTTTAGTTCTAAGAGAACTGAATTGACAAAATTTAATAAATTGGAGCTGATTATTCTTATTTACTTTATTTCATATTAATCAACTTGCGTCTACTTTAATGACGATGCAAATATTGTAAGTTCAAGTTTGAAATATTTATCTGCAACTTGGTATCTGAAAATTTTGGTCGTGCATTGCATTTACATCGTTCCGTTGATGATCGTATTGAACTACCAATTAGTTGTTTCTATTCTTTTATGTATAATCTATCTTTATCTCCTATCGTTCACATCTATTTTTAGATGAGAAAAATATAGGATATGCACATTAGAATTGATCGGTCTCTGTAATATATATTCGGCACAGACGTACTGCATCAAGCAGATAAATAGCCCAGTTTTCTCGATACGATCATCGTCCGAGAGCAGCAATTTGTGCGCTCTCTCGGAAGGAACTTGGAGGCAAAATGGGGATTTGTTCCGAGCCTCGCACCAAACGATCGAGCCTGCTTAGCATGAATGCTTGCTCACGGGTCGCACAATGGATTCGTCATGGCTTGTCGTTGGATTCGGTCAGGGAGAGAGTGAGAGAGAGACGTATAGAAAGTCCCAGATGTTACTGCTACAAGTCTCAACGAACGGCTTGCGATCAATGAGGAGGCCAAATCACCAAATAACCGACGCTCTAATTCCGGGCTACTATGGTAGTGCTTTAAAAATCCACTCATCCGGCCGATCGATCGGCAGATGCCATGAAACGTCACTCTGATAAATGCCTGTATCAATTCAATTATTTTCGAGACACGATAGGAAGTTTTATCAGTCGAGTATGCTGTTTCAATATTTTAATTACGACAGTTTGTTATATTTTTTTATAAATTTATATAACTTGGTTTGATACTTTAATTTAGTAAAAAGGTTGCTTTTTATGTTTTCACATTCGGATATCAGTATCAAAATATGAGAATGCCAGATCAAATGTTTCAATCTTTTGCCTTTTAATAATGATTATATAATTCTGGTAAATTTTATCATTCGCTTTGAAAACGTAAACGTAAATTAAATTTTGCGTTACACTAAAGTAGATAAAAATTAATGGCCTATTTCTTCCAGTTTGTTGATTTATATCAAAATACGTTTATTTTCCCTAAAGTATTTTTATAAATAGAAAATCGTTATCTTTTTAATCGAATCTTTTGTGGCGAAACTTTTGAGGTCAATCATGTAAATATTTTCATAAAGCATTATCAGGATGACGTGTCGTTGTGTCTCACCTTCTGTCCTATCTTCTCTTTCTGTGCGCTCTTCAACGACCGACGTCCGACACGGAGCCCGGCTTCCTCGAGTCCGATTTGCTACCCGGAAACGAAACAAACGAACACAAGATGCGCAATAAAAAAGAAACGTGTCTATACCATAATACATCCCATTATCCATAGATATATTACGGCTTGACCAATTTTTTTATTCTCTTTTGTTTTATGTTTTTTATTTTCCTTTCTTCCAGTTCGATTATTGTCCGTTAACTTCGAGAGACGTGGCTGAAAGGGTGGGGTTAATTTATCAAAGCGATAAATAAATAATAAATTATGACAAAATCACAAACGAACAAGGACATGCATGCGTGGCACGAAAAGAGGTAGATTACCTAGATATATTATTACTATTGCGCTTTATATCTACTTTCACGATCCCATCTTTAATACTTTCTCAGTTTCTCAGTCTGCTTGATGAACTCTTACGGCGCTTACAGTACACGGTTACTACTTCGCTTCTTCTCCTGATACACTGTCTCTGATTTTGTGTTTTTATTTCTGTTTATCTCTACACGGTCTCACATAAAAAATCGTTCCCTGTTCTCCTTTTTAAAATTGACTTCCCTTATCCGGTCACAACCAGACTTCCTTTAAGATTCAATTGAGAACATAGGGAAAAAACGTATTTAAAATTCCAATTTAGTTCTCGCGTGATTGTTTCTTTTATTTCTCGCTTCTAATACAATTGTCCAGTCTCAGATTTTATGGAATTTTATTTTAATTATATATGTCATATTATTAAATTTATATTTAAAAAATATTTTTTGCCTTTTTAATAGATCTAAAATTATTTACAAGACTTATTTAAATTGCTATAAAATTGTGAAAAGGAATAAATACACATTTTTATTATGATTTTAGGAAGTTCAAGCTTTGGGTCAATTTAAGAGAAATAATAAAAATAATAACAATATTAAATTTAAATCAAATTCACATGGTATATTGTCCAGAAACATTTCGAATGTTTTGATTGAAATAAAAAAATATTTGAAAAATATTAATTTCTTTTAAATTATATTGAATGATTTTTAAATAAACTATTTTTGATACGCTGATTTGTATATCAATTACATTTATTTACATGTACATAAACCTTTGTTTAACTTCGTGAGAAATAAAAGATATCATAAGTTACGCGAGCATAAATTCGTGTACACGCATTTAATATCGCTCTTGTCGCGCTACGTTTTGTTCGTTTCTCCACTTCCATCCTGAGTTGCTCATTGTCCTCTTGGCGTCCTGTTTAGAATAGCATGGCTTCCGGCACTCTTTTAGCTAAGAGTCAGCGACGAGTTCGTGTAAGGGTGGGCTGCCCTGTTACGTTTCCACCATTTAAACACATTAGAGAGATCACGTCGGGACGGTTTGTCTACGAGGAGGCGTTTACATATTCGTGAATAGACCCTCAATATTTTTCAGATAATTTATTGATTGTAAACATTCCAAACTCCTTTTCTTGAATTACCAATTACTGAAAAGATATCTGATAAACGATTGAAGAACTCAGCGGATATAAAGTATTCGTCGGTTGTCATTAACTAGTGACGTTAGAAATTTTATGTATTCATATTCTACGTACATCACAACAATAAAAACGTATATACTAAGATAATGTGTATTAATAACGCATATCTATATATGTATATGTAGATATTATCTTAATATATATTAATTTCAGACATGTTTCATACAGTGCAACAGCGCTTAGAAATTTTGCACATAAGTTAGTTTAGTTGACAACAGTGATATAGAGAATGAAGTATTATCATTCGTTTAAGGTCACGACATACATACATCCTATCCTTCCTATCTACCTTTCATTTCATCCTTTTTAAAAATAAAAATAGAATATACCATTATTAGTAATTAGATACAATTTTTCTTCAAACGTTTTGTATTTGCTTCAAACGATTAGCTTGTTTTAATGTTTACTAAATAATTATTACAGCCAATCAAAATAATTTATGACTAATTATTAGAATATTTAGTCATCTTCTGATTACAATAGTAACTGCAACATGCCGTTAATAGGATCGTAGTGGATTATACTTGATGAAATGCGATAAAATCTTTGTCGGTGCAAATAAACTGATGCTAAACTTCATGTAAGTATTTGTATAACGTGGAAACGGTAGGTGCAAAGAGAATTGCTGCGTTATATTTCGCGCGATTTAACGGTATCGCGAGAATACAAGGATAGACGTCCTTCTTCTCTCCGCGCTCGTTCGCTCTCTCTTTCTGTAATTTCTGAGCGCCCCTTCCTCATCAAGCTGTTCCTAAGTAATTTCTGCCACGATTTTCGAAGTAACGCAACGCGGTTTATCTTATCGACGGCCATTCTGCGTACCGTTTATCCTTCTAGAGCAATTTTCCGGGATATATTGCTGTTTATCAATTTAATGCATTTCAGAGGCGCACGCGAGATTTTATATTTTTGCAATAAATGCGTGGAATGTTGTAGACTGCTTAAGGCAACTGGTTCTACTTGCTTCAATTTCCGCATACATTATGACGTCAGAAGCAAAAGAATCTTTTCGATGGGTTATTTGTTGTTAAAAAAACGAAATTTAGAGTATTTTCAAAAATAGATCGGGTATAGCAATACGGCCAAAGCTTCAAAATGTTTAAAAGTCGAACAACGGAATTCGTCCAAGTATTGGAATTTAATCTTATCTTCTCTTAGATATTAGTTGTTGCTAGAATGTCTTTTTGAATCTTGATCAATTTTAAAATAGTTCCTATATCGAATTAACAATTTATTGACGCGGAAAGATAACATGCACTACGCGAAGATAAATTTAACATTCTAGTAAACTTTCCACATAAGAGAAGTAAGAACAAACGTCGTTAAAACTTCATCTATTTGCGACATTGAAGTCTGCTCTAGGTCGATATATATAATTAAAAACGGTACGCTCGAATGACTATCGTAGAGTTCGTTATGAGGAAGCCGTCGGACCGGTCCCAGGAAGTCGGGACAAGGCATTGATTATGTCACGACCGAATGAGTCCGGGATGGTCGAATTAAATCATCGATTGTGAAAGATATCACCTGTTCCCCTTCTTACGTAGAACCGAACGTTCTCTCTCAGCAAAGCTGCCCCTGAGCTAAGAGTTCTTGCTCGCAATTGGAAATTCTCGAGCGTGATGCGCGAGGTGGCGAACATGTTCAAGCATACATAGATATACTTCTCGGTGTCGTCGTAAACCCCCAACTCCTCTTAAGCACACCCCGAGTGATTGTTCGACGCGGACCCCCCCCCCTCCCCTATTTTTGAACGATGGATCTCTTCGTCGTTGTTACAGATGGGCAAACTGGGCAGCAATCCTTTGGCTGGACTGGCAGCCTTAGGCCTTGGAGGTCTTGCCACACCGGCAAACACGGGTGGTCTTAATCCAGCAGGTAAGTCAATACATGTTTTCAAAGAAATTGTAGGTCGGCAATCGTACCCCGTTGATGTTGTTCTTTGTCTCGCAAAATAATTATGTGCAGAAGAGATTAATACTCGTTTTATCTCTTTATTTTCATTGTGATATGTATTGAATCGTGTAATGTTGAGTGGTATCATCGACTGTTACAATTCGCAAGAAACAAATTTATATATTTGAACTAATAATTTTCTCAACTATTTTGATATATTTTTTAAAGTTATATATAGTTTTGTATACTTTTTATGATTATTAATGCAATTTATGAGACAATTCACAGTAGACGTAATGTCTGTTGAAATTTTTATTTGGAAATTAATTTTAAAACTAAGTTGATAATAATCAATATGGTATTGCAATAAATTTTTCTTGCGTGAACGAACTTTATCGATTAATGCCCAATTTCTTTACCTCTAGATAACTTTATCCAAGAGATATCTCCCAGAGTACAATGGAGATATCTCCTAGATAAGGTTATCCGCAACTTATCTGGAAGTGAAGAAATTGGGCATAAGAGTTATGTTAAAACAGGTTCGTATACCGCAATGAGAAGTTAAATTTATCTATAAACTTTCCACAAGCATTAGTTAAAGTTTATTGGAGCTCTAGAGTACAGACTGAAGGAAGAGCGATAGCATCAGTAAACCACAATTCAACTTTGATGCAACTAATTTATAGAAGCAGCCTTATACAAACGTATTTCTTCCATTTGCCTCATTGGTTTCTAGTTTTATAAAGGAAAACTCTTTCGTGAACTTTTCATTACGATCAAAATTCAGGAAGAAACTTTTCTAATATTTGCGCAATTGATGGCATAGCATTAGCTGCATTGGCTGGGAGCCAGCTGCGTACGAACAACACGAATAGGCAGCAACCGGCGGCGAACAATCAGACGCATGAGATGACCGTGCCAAATGAGCTGATCGGTTGCATCATTGGGAAGGGCGGTACCAAGATCGCCGAGATCCGTCAGATCTCCGGCGCCATGATCCGAATCAGCAACTGTGAGGAGAGGGAGGGCGGAGCAACGGACCGCACGATCACCATAACCGGGAATCCGGACGCCGTGGCGTTGGCACAATATCTCATCAACATGAGGTGAGTACTACGTGGCCTGTATCCCATATTCCTCAAGCCTATCAAACCGAAGGTCAACCTTCGGACCGACAGGAAGCCATTCCAAGAGGTTCGTCTAAGGTTCGGCTTTCGGTGTGTCACCGAATTCCATTTTCAATAGAAAGCAGTCGAACTCGTCCCGGCTACGTTTTACAGTGGATCGCGATGCATTTTCCCCTTGATCTCTTTTTATTTATTTATTTATTTTTATTTATTTACTTTTCCCGCATTTCTGTCGACACTGCCCGCCAGATTGGTGCGCGTGTCGCTGGCGTAGAGTGATTTTCTTGTTGACCTTACCCATGATCGAGATCCGCCGATTCGCCTGTTTGTACTACTCGTTCCTCACACAACCTGTTGCCTCACTTAATTTTCATGTCTTCTTAATGATGAGATTATGTAAGGGATAGTCGAATCGGCACTCCTCGCGATATTCCCCATCATTACTGTTATCATCCTTGCTCACGACAACCCGCGTACAGATGACTTTCGTCTGCCATTTTCCTCTGCCCATTAAGCTACTGCACAAAATATTGTAAACTATAAATAAATTTAAAGTTAAAGATAAAATTTTAACGACACAATATGCTTAACAATACGTTGTTCCCGTAAGAGGGATAGTTATAAGACGATATACGTATTTTATTTTCTTCCCGAGAAATTTGTAGTTAAAACGGACATTAGAGAAGTTTTACTCTATTTCTGAGAGTTTTACTCTGTTTCTGAGAAGATTATAATTGGCATTAGGAGAAAAGTCGTCTTTACTGCGTGTCGCCGCGAGAGATGTTATGAAAGAGGTGGTGTTACGCTGAGAATGATACTGCTGCAAAAATACACGCGTAGTTTGTTAACAAGGCAATATAATGATAATCATCGGGGAAAATTTCTCTGGGTGAAATAATAGAAAAGGAATCGCGTCGCGTAACGCCACCTCAGTTTACAGCGAAACAGGTCGTACGTAATCATAAAGTAACGATGCGAGGAGAAGACGTCGCATCTCGACGGCCATGACCGAGGTACCAGCGTTCATGTATGCAGATACCGGAAGACATCGACGTCGGCCGTAAGACGGAAGAGGATCTTAATCCTTTATTTCCAGGTCCTGTCTTCCAGGTCCAGTACCCCGAGTATCCTGCAGACACAACTCCGTTCAACATCTGTTCCCATTGTCGCTGGCTGTCCTTTCAAGCAAATAAACTACCGACTGAAAGACATAATGAAAAGATGTACGAGGACTGTCGCTCTGTTAGTGACAATCAATCCCGAATAGTCCCAAACAATCGTATCACAGTTCCTCCTTTCGATTCGTTTTTTAATGACACAAATTTCTTTCTAGTTTGACAGGCTCCCGGTAATGGACGATCAGCTTATAACATTTACGCTTATATTTCCGTTTTGTGTATTTATAACTCAGTTCGCGAAAAAGAAAACAAGATACTGGTACATTTAGAGCCGCGAGTATGTTTCTGGCATTATATTTAGAAAAATATATGCATTACACGTAAACGTCGTGTTTTTATTTGCGCGATAAAATGTGAAGGGTTTCCCTCGTCCTTGCCAGGAACCTTTCGCCGTAACATCTTTACATTTTAGTTATATGCTTTCATCGCTGTTGTTACCATCGCTTAAAGGTCCGTCTACAATACACGTAGTAAGCTTGGTTTAAGAAGTAAGAGTAAGAAATTGACCAATCACAGTCGATTATTCTTCTCACATTCGACTGTGATTGGTCAATTTCTTACTCTTACTTCTTAAACCAAGCTTACTTCGCATATTGTAGACGACGCTTAATGTTCATTGGTCGGTGTTGAAGATCTGTTACTATTTTTTTTTCTTTTTTGTTTATTGAATTATGCTGTGGAACTAATCTACTTCCATCATAGCGACATTAAAAATGGTGAACGGTACTAACGTAGTCGTCGACGAGATTCGAGGACGACAGACAAAAAGTCGGCACAAGTTCGCGCCACACGTAAGATCCCACCAGCATCAAGCAAAGTACGATTTAAACACGCGGATCAACACACTTTTACACACGTACACCCTCACGTTATAATTATAATCCATTATATTTTATTCCAGATTGCCACTCACATTTTACTACTGCATATAAATAGCGCAATGTCGTTATATATATTTATCATCTCGATACTTCTGTATTTTGCCCGTTAACTTTGTCATCATATTTATTACGTATCGTGTATCCCGGCACTCCTGTCGGTCACAAGTTTACGCTCTGCCATTTATGTAGTTCTCATTTAGATGACGTATATCTGAAAGTCGATCATTGACCATTTATGCATCGTGATTAGATGCATATCTCGTGATCTCAAACGTATCAGCTGTATGACGCAATTAACGCGACTTATGGCAGAGTGTATACTTGTGCCTGATTTACTTTGATTTCTGCCTTTTCTATAAGCCACGAGGCAAATGGCTCGTTCTATCGACGTGGAGACCATCGACTTTTAGCTGTTGACACAAATTACGAATGAAGCGCAATTCACGAAACGGAAATATCCCTCAATGTCAGGTGTCTCTCGTCTGTATAACGAACCATAAGCCCGTTACACCTAGAAACAATCGCATCGTTCGCAAATCTACTTGTTAGTGGTGGATGTGACATTTGTTTTTGTAGGAATTTGTATTCTGAAAGAGTAGACTAGCGAACGCGTGTTTTATCTTCTTCTCTTCATCGTGTACATCCTTCGCTGCGCGCTCCTTGCGATCAGGAACGCATTTCGACCGATTCCGTATTCGGCGGTCTCATTCCATGGCTACGGCTGACTGGCGCTCATTAGCAAGTCAGTCTATGTCCGGTATGAATGCCCGTGGACATTCGGTAGAGTCTAAATGCAACCTGGCGCGATCGAGACCTTCCTCTCCCCCCCCCCACGAACCACGTAGCCGGTGTACGTGATAATCATGCTCCACAGAGCACCTCTGACGTAACTCTCTAAGCCTACAACTTGTGATTTAGTTTATCTTGTTTTCTGATGGTTCCTTTTTTCTCATATTTTTTTTCATATTGTTTTATGTTCTCCGCGGCAGCTACCACTATTATTATTATTACTACTGCTACTCTTCTACTACTTTTACTATTCCTACTGCTACTATTACTACTATAACTCTATTGCTACTACTTTACTGTTGTCTTTTTTTTTTTTACTTTTTATCATCTCTTATGTTGAATTTTTTTTTATCTCTTTGACACACAGTTTTACGAGGAACGTTCCCGCCCTCACCTTTTTACATTTTGTGTCTTTTCCCAGTGTCGAACTGCAGAAAGCTAACCTAGAGGCCCATAATACCCAAACCCCTGGCAGCGGTACCACTCCCGGAGCATCCGGGGCCAGTGCTTCCCCCTCTACCACCACTACCACTGCCTCTCCCTTGGCCAGCGCCATCCCCTTGGCTCAGCTGCTAAGCAAGCCAGGCGCCCTCAACGCCCTATCTAGCCTCACCGCCCTCGGCGGACTCACGGAATTGCTAGGTGGTGCTGCTGGCGCAGCTGCATCCGCGCTACCGGTCCAGACTACCGGCGTGCACCGATCGCACAAGACCTTTACGCCGAGGCTCCGTAGCCCGGGCGCACCAGGCCCGACCGACAGCGGCAAGTTCAAGTCCGAGCGTACCAAGTATAATCCGTACTGAACGAACAGACAAGCAGCAGGATGATAATGATGTTACAGGGGGAACACTACACATAAATACAAATCTACTACTACATACTTTTAGCGTACACTTGTGTAACACACCGAAGTAAAGTGCGTACGGACGCCAGGGTAGCGAGTACGAAGACTTGGCGAAGGATTGATTCGTCGTTTTGTGTTATTAAATGATTGTTCAGATGGGAGCGTGAGTACGATTGTCTAAATAGATAGAGAGGATTGAGGAATTGCGCGAAGCCGATGAAGAAGATGATTCTCAATCACCTCTCGATCATGAAAGATTACCACCGATCGACGATTGATATTGAAAAGAAGGAATCTTTCTCTAGAAAAATGAAACACTTTTTAATCATTTTTCTGGAGATGATGCTCCGCTTGACCATATTAGTTCACTTCCTCCTAAGAATCACTGTACGGAAACATTTTGTAGGATTTTTATTTGTTTTTGATGTATTATTTTTAGCTGAGGAAAAAGAAAAGACAGATTGCAGCGTTTGGAATGTTTTGTGTTATTAAATCCGATTATGATCCGATGCTAAGTCTTAGAAACACACATATACTATCGTGACACGCCCTCCGAGATCGGGATGTTCGACGCTATCGTGTAAAGACTGATTGTGTAATGTAATGAAGCGGCTGAATTCATTAATGATAAATTCTTTTGAGGTCTCTTAATGATGAACATATAGCTTTTCTTGTAACGTTTCATTTTCTACGAGCGATTTCTGATAGGCTCGGAGGACGCGATCGCTCATGCACCGTCGCAAGACAGCCTTTTTTTATATAAAATATAAATATATAATTACATTATTATTATTACAATATATTATGGATGCTAATTAATTAACTGTTTGAAAAAAAAAACTCTTAATAGTATATATAGCTATACCAATGTGATTTTTTTTTTCATAGTAGATAGAAATTCTATATAAAGAAATTTTTCGCGCGCGCGTGAATGAATATGTGTGATGAAGAGAAAGGGAAGGAAAGTGCGTGAAAGAAATCGTCTTTGAATCATGTGTTTATCAGTCTTTGTAATAAATCGTGTTGAGAATGCACTATGTCATAATCATGTATCGTGATGATTTAGATGACTTTTGCGGTCTTCTTTCTTACGAAAAAACGATCTGCAACCGAGCGATCGAGGAGTTCGCAAGAAATGCGAACACGGTGAATTTTGAAGCATTATAATCGACCATCGCAATATGAAATAATCAATCAAGCTATACACATAGTGTTGTAACGGTAATAAACTTAATCCTTATATGCACGCGAGACGACCAAGGTCTGCATGAAATCGCGTGTAAATTATGTTTTTGTGAAATTAAACTAATAAAACACGTATATACACATAAAAGACACAGTCAGATTTCTAATTCCACGGTAATTCGAGCGTTTTTTTTTTTATTTACTGTTCTGTAAGTTGTCGGAAAACGTGAAGTCGGAATCTAGCCGCGTAAGAACGATCGGTTAGATTCAAGTCTAACACAATCGCGGAAGAAAAAGGAAAACAGTTTGGACGGATGTTCAAGATGTTTCATCACTTGGATAAAGACGATCGATAATGGATTCACCAGATAAGTGTTTGTGTGCTCAATTTTCTAGTTTATAGTGAGTACTTGCAAGTAGCGACCGATCGGGTGTAGGACATAATGGTCGGATTATCACAACAAGTACTGACCTATCGCGAGCGTGGCCATGGTTTATCGGAACGCGTGGTAATCGCATGAAGAATCAGTCCCGTTTGCAGAAAAATTATTCCGATCGGATCAACCGTCGCCATGATCGCGAGATATCTTCATTGCGTTTTCTTCATTTTAGATTGTACGGTCTCGTTCCATTTTTTTTCTCGAGACAATAAACTCACGTCAACTCATGTCCAGGATTCTAAGTGACTGCTTACGATGAAAAAAAGCGTAAGTAAGAAAATCGTGAGGAAATGCGTTAGAAAATACACATAGTCCCATCATGCATGTAGGTATATCAAGTGAAGCGATGCGCATAACGATGATATAATAAATGAAGGAACTATTTCAGATACAATTAAAAGAGTACTTGTATTTAACAAAAACATAAAATTTCATTGCTTGGGACAGATGATTTATTAAAGGAAGCCATTACTGTGCCTGGTATTCCTACATCGTGCATAGAATCCTGTAGGCAGATAATTTTGAGATGTACATTAGTCTATAATGATATCGCAGAGCTTACATGTTTAACAGACTTTAGCTACCCTGTATCATCTTGTTAAATAAATCTAGGCGTGTTTAATACAGTAAGAGAAATACAATACCAAATAAAAACAGCTTTGGCGTTCCTGCGAGTGAGGTCCCGCAATGTATTGGTTCGCAGGAAAAATGTATGACGGATAGCGAAAGTAAACGATAGCGAAAAATTTATTCCTCGACGTTCTTTTATCCGGAAAGCAACATATTCCTTTTGGATCGGAAATGAAATACCTCCAATATATTGCGCGACCACCTTTATGGCACTTGAACGTTTTATTACCACCTTCTTTTTTAAGCATATAACGTTTTTGCGTTAATCTTTCAGCGATGTTTTAAATCGGTATAATTGAAAGAAAAAGTGAATGAAAGAAATACACATGCTCGGTTTATTATACCTTTTATCAGGGACGATTTTGCATATGAAGATATCTCGATTTGTTATAAGAATGCGACATGGCCTCTTCTATCGTTTCTTCAGCCTTAACATTAATAGCAGTTACATATTTCAAATAAAATTTAATATTTTTTAAAATAAATTTTTTCACGATTTTGATTAACGCGAGCATTTTTTGCACTTTTTGCTGTCGAACAGATTGTACATAATTTGACCGTATTCTGGTTACATTCAGCGCCTGATATATTCATCTTCGTGCAACATTTATGTCAATCATGGCAAACGTAGGATTCCGGATCAGGACCGGCTACTTTTTGACGCTCAATGTACGCTGAGAGTACGGTCCATTGAAATCCGTATATATACTTATGTACCATATCTCACCACGTACACGTAAGTGTTAAGCGTAATCAAGATCGGAGAGAAACTCGTACAGAGAGAGATGTAGATAAAGGGAGAGAAAGAGAGAGAGAAAGAGAAAGAGAGAGAGAAAGAGAGATAGAAAAAGAGAAGATGTATCCATCCAACCAACTTGACCCAGGCTCCTGCCCGTTTTTGGTAAGCACCATCCATTCCTTCGTAGTCCTGTTAATCGATTTATCCTGTTGGCTGCGAAGTTCTCATTTACTACGTTTCTCAGTTCTCATTTTTTTTCCAATTCAATCGTTGCGCAATCTTTTTTTTTTTTAATACCAGATATGTACGACCAACCATCCGAATCCTTCCGGGCTCGCGAGAAATCCTCGAGAAAAGTACGTATCACGTGATAAAATTTTTATAGACCTCCGGAGTCGCGCGATAACGTCGTTGCTCTGCATTCTTGGCAGACGTAGTAATAGCTTTGTTTTGCAGGTTCGACACAGATGTTGAATGTCTGTGATATCACTCTGCTGATGGTTCGTACAAAATTCGTAGACCGGGCATGCAAATTAAAAGACAATATATACTACGCCGGGCTTTATACATATACTATGTCGGAATACGGCTCACGGAGAGTCACTAGATTCGTGTTGTGTTCTACTTCCGCGTCGCATGCTGCAGCATCTTTATTCGGACGAAAAGATTCGGCCAGTTAGCCTCGTTAGTCTTTTCCTCCGATGCTGAAAATGTGTCGGAATTTTATCTCGATTCTCTCTTACGAGTACGAGGGGAGAGTCCTGGAAGATGATTGAAAATTCTCGCGAACATGCGATCCACCGAGTGGACCAATTTTTTGTAGCTGTTAGAGGGGAGCACTGAGTCTTGCATAACGCATGAGAAAATAAACCAATTAAAGTCCTTCATTTCCTTCTTTTCGTAAAATAAAAAGCATTGGCTGCGTTTAGCCGAAAAAAGTAACTTTGCAACTGTTGTAAAATTCTTTAATATGATTGATCTTGTCTCACTAGATCTAAATATAAATCAATCATATTAAAAAATCAGCTGCTTTTTCTGCTGAACGCAGCTATTGGTTAATTTTCTTGTATCTCGTGCGTTTTACAAGAATACTCCTGTCCTTGTAGAGATCGTTCCAAGAACTCTCATCTCGTACTTGTTGGAGTGAACACGACTGGTAGAAATGAACGTTACTGTTTCTCACGACGTGACCGATTGTGTTTCAGGATATCGATGGAGACGTCGGGGGTGCCTATGCCCGCGTATCACTTCATCCCACCGGACCACATTGTGAAATCGCCCATCCACTAAATGTGGAGAGCCGTCGTGGTCGTTGTCGTCGTCGAAAGGACGCGGAAGCATCGCGGAAGCGCGCGAAGCTGTCAGTGGCATATGGGGCTGGGCCACACACTGTGTTCAGCTTGCAAATCGATACACTTGCAAAAAGAAACAAGACACACGACAGTGAGAAAGAGAAAGGGAGAGAGAAAGAGAGAAAGAGAGTGAGAGAAAAAGAGACACACATAATACGTACTCACGTAGGACACTCGCACGTATTCAGAAAGGAGTCTACTTGTGCGCGCTTTAAATACGACCGTGTACGTTAAAATCGAACATATTCTAATACTACAGATATACGTAAAAAAAAACGCGTACACACACACATATATATATATATATAATATACATACATATACACGCGACACAATGAAGCGAGAGTTAAACGTACATGGAAAAATGATGAAGATACGCACGCGCGTACACAGACACACTTGAGTGTACAAAACTGTACAAAAAGTTATTTAAACAAAAGAACAAAAAATAATGATGCACGTCGCAGCCACGAGCTGTTGCCGATTGGTAAAGGGAACAAGCCAAAGATATGTTAGTTTTCATTTTTATATTTAAACGAAAAAAAAAATGATGACGCGAGACGGGAGAGAAATACGAGAGAATTATTATTATTAATTATATTACTACGAACGATGATGCTAAATAATATTAGGCCGATTGTTAGCGTTTTTTCTATTGCGGATACACCGTCGCGCCGACGGTTTTCGCGACCGGTTCGCGAACTTAGTTACTTCATCCGGA